TCTACCCCTATTCTTGTTCCCCCTCCTACTCCATCTCTTGCACCGTTGTTAGTCTATTCTCGTTAGACAACTCTTCCTCCATCGGTTGCCTTCTCATGTAGTGCTAATACTCATGCTTCTAATGACACCGACCTTGCCAAACGTCAGTATCCGCTTCGTCATCTTTCTCTTGCAGTGAGACTTGGTTTTTCTAACATATGTTTTTCTTCTTCATACTGTACCTTGTTTGCTGTTCATTCCTTTTCAAAACAATTGTCTTATAAGGTGGTCTGTCAAGATAATTGGGTCCAAGCCATGGATGAGTTGTCTGCTTTGAAGAAGACCTCTAATTGGGAGCTAGTGCCTTTGCCTTCTTGGGAAAGATCTGATTTGTTGTAAGTGGGTGTCCAAAGTCAAGACTCATTCAGATGGATCTCTGGAGTGTTACAAAGCTCGCTTAGTGGCTAAAGGTTTCAATCAAGAGTATGCCCTTGATTATGAGGAAGCCTTTGCCCTTGTAGACAAGATGACCACTGTTCGTATCTTGACCTTCGCGGCTGTTGTCTGCCACTGGCCTCTCTATCAAATGGACATTTAGAATGCCTTTCTTAATAGCCATCTTTCAGAGGAGGTTTATATGTGTACTCCCCTAGTCTATTTCATTCTTCTGGACAAGTGTGTCGTCTTCGCCGTGTGCTTTATGGTTTAAAGCAGTCTCCCTGTGCCTAGTATGACTATTATAGACTACTATTGCTCAACTTGGGTACCATCTTAGTGCCTATGATTCTACTTTGTTTCTCCTTCACATCTCTATTAGCTTTGTTGCTCTGTTGCTTTATGTGGATGGCATGATCATTACTGGCATTGACCTTTCTGCCATCACTTAGGTCAAGCAACATTTGTTCAGCACGTTCGAGATGAAGAATGTGAGTCATTTGCGATATTTTCTTAGTATTGAGGTTGCCTCTTCTCCTATGGGGTATTTTCTCTCTCAAGCCAAGTACGCTAATGAGGTTATCCATTGAGCCTGGTTCTTTGATACTAAAACTTCTGATACCCCGATTGAGCTTAATGTGAAGCTCAACACTACTCATAGTGTTTCTCTGGATGATCCCATTCTATGTTGGAAACTTGTGGGTTGCTTAGTCTATCTGACTGTCGCTCACTCTGATCTTGCCTATGCTATACATGTGGTTAGTCAATTTGTTTTTACTCCTTGATCCACGCACTAGGTTGCTTTAGTTCGAATTTTGCGCTCTCTCTCGGGTACTATCTTCCAGGGCTTATTGTTATCCTCCATCACTTCATTAGAGCTTCGGGCCTATGCTGATTATGATTGGGTTGGTGATGTCACTGATTGTAAGTTCACTTCTGACTTTTGTATGTTTTTTAGCAATTCCCTCATTTCTTGAAAAAGCAAGAAACAAACTATTGTTACCCGTTCTATTGCTAAGGCTGAGTATCGTGCAATGGCTTATGCTATTGTTGAGGTTGTATGGCTTCATTGGCTTTTGTCTAATTTGGGAGTGTATTAGTGTTCTCCTACCTAGCTCTACTGTGACAACAAAAATGACATCCGGATTGCTCATAACGCTGTCTTTCATGAGAGGACAAAGCAGATTGAGCTTGATTGTCACTTTGTCCATCAGCATCTTCAATCTAGATCTATTTCTCTTCCCTTTATCACTTCAATTCTACTGCTTGTTGATTTCTTCACGAAGACTCGTGTGCTTTCTATTCCTTCTAGACAAACTCTCGATGTTTTCTGGCAAAACACCGTGAGTTTGAGCGGGGTGTGAGAATATTGTAGATATTCTCTAGATATTATGTATATTCTGTAGATATTGTGTGGATATTGTAGACATTCTCTAGATGTCGTTGATATTCTGGAGATTGTGAGAATATTGTAAATATTATTTTTTTTAATAGCTTTTTGACGTTTTTAGCCAAGAAGTCAAGGTCCCAAACAAGGGTTAGCCTAGGCTATAAATATTTCTTTTTCTGTTTTAGGGTTAGCCTAGGCTATAAATACCGATCTAATTCTTTTGTATTAGTCACACAATTGAATATATAGTTACTTTTTGCCCCTCTTAAACTCAAACACTAACACATATTTCCAAAATTAAAAAAAAAACTATTAACAGCTCAATGTGCTACACTAAACAGGGCCTTCAAGTATCACTTTCTTTTGTTTGATTTATTCTCGCAGGAAGGTTCCACCTCCTTAGCATGTATGCCACAACTTAGATTCTCCTCATATTCATTATTTGGACATTGTTCATCTTGATTTTCTTAGTAAGACTTGGTTTCTCTGCGTACTCGTACTCCTTTGTAAGACACGTTTTCTTTAATACTTGATATTCTTCTTCTTATCACGCCTTTTTCCTTGTATCCATGCTTACTCTGATCAATCTTATAAAGAAGCTTATATTGATCCCATTTGGGTTAGTACAATTCAAGATGAGTTGATTGTTCTTAAGAAAACTAATTGGTTCTGTTCCTAAAATTCTTATTGGTTGTAAGTAGGTTGTAAGTAGGTTTACCAAGTTAATACCCACTTTGATGATTCTCTCGAGTATTATAAAGGCAAATTAATTTCAAAGGGTTTCTCATAGGAGTATAGGATTGATTACAAGGAGACATTTACTCCTGTAGCTAATTTATCTTTGTTCATTCCAAAAATGTTCATACCATGTACCAAGAGCATGTTATCAATATTTTTAGTTGACTGTTTCATCTTAGTGGTCATGATTCTGCTCTATGATAGTCATTTTTTTATTATATGTGGATAATGTTATCACCGAGTTCTATCTTTTTCGGGAATTCGAAATGAAAAATATGAATTGTCAGCATTATTTTTTGGTTTATTAGGGTGTCTGATTCTCTTTAGTGTTATCCTTTTGTCGTATTCTATGTATATGCTAGTGAGATCATTCATTGTGCCAGACTCTCAAATGACAAGGTTGTTCATGCTCTGCTCCTAATGAGTTACATGCCATTTTAAATTATATATATACATTTATTTTTATGGTGTTCCCCTTGAAGATTCTGCCTTGTATTGTAAGTTGGTTGGATATTTAGTTATCTAATTGTGGCCTGTGTTGATATTGTACATATAGTTAGTCAGTTTGTTTTTTACCTCATTCTATTTATTAGGTGGCTTTGTTATGCATTTTACACTATGTGTAAGGTACTATATTACAGAGCTTATTGTTATCTTCTACATCCTCTTTGATTCTACAACCTTTTGCCCAAGCTAATTGGGTTGGCGATATTTCTAATCATAAGTCCACAACCAGCTTTTGTATTTCTCTTAGTGATTCTCTTTTCTTGTAGAAAAAAAAAGAAGAAAAAGAACTGATCTGTTTGCTCGTTCCACTATTAGGTTGAATATTGTGTTATGGTTCATACTAGGCCTCACAACTCTATTTTAATTAAATATTTTTGTTGTAGGTATGGATATGTCGATTTGGTGGTTGATTAGATTTGATTAATTTAATCACACAAATTAAATTGCAAGCATAAAAAACAAATCAAGGCTGCACAAAGAGATTCACTATTTTATTTATTTATTTATTTTTAATGTGGGAACCCCAATAGTAAAAAAACAACTGGATCTAGTCCAACCAATCAATCTGCTGTAGCCACAAACTTGCAAGTGTACCACAATTTGTGAATCTCTTTGATTAATTTAATTACACCAATTAAATTGCAAGCATAAAAAACAAATCAAGGCTGCACAAAGAGATCTGCCATTTTTTTTTTAATGTGGAAACCCCATTAGTTAAAAAACAATTGGATCTAGTCGAACCAATCAATCTGCTGTAGAAAGGACAAAAAATACAAGTTGCAACTTACAACTCGACCCTAATCCACAGACTTGTGAGTGTACCGATTGAATCCATGATTTTGTTTTCAATGAATGATTGAGTGTCGAGTCCAAATACCTCTAGAATCCATCACGAATTGAACATGATTCACTCACCAAAGCCTTAGAATCGTCCATGACTCTCACAAATTCATGAAATAATGTTGTGAAAAACTTAGAGAGTAATAATCATCATTTAGCTCTGTAGAGTAACTCCTCTTCAAAAGATCTCTCTAAGCATCTAAAAGTCTCCCACAGGTGTTCGTATTTATAGATGGGATAATCCTTGGGTGACCAAACTTCATTGCAACTGAAACTAAAAAATCATACAGAACACTTAAAAATACACCATCAAGCAACATGGCTGCTCGATTGGCCTAGGTACAATTGCTCAATACACAACTCTGCATTGCTCTGTTTGATGCTCTGATGTTGTACCTTCGCTGCAAAGCCTCCATAGGTAAAAATAGCCTCTGAAACGCAATTTTTAAGCCCTAAAACATGAGATTACAACTCGAATGATTTTGTCCATGGATTGTCAAAACTACCTACAATAACATTTTGCATGAGCATGCGAAGCATATAGAGATTTATTGTTATTTTTTTCACCAGCATCTTTAGATGAATCCATTGATTTGCCTTTTGCATCCACTCACTTTCAATTATTGTCCGAGTTTGCATCATTAGTTGTTAGGCTAATTAGGCTACTTAGGGTTGTAATTATTTTTTGATGTTAATACAACGTCACAACTGTCTTCCATATTTTGTTTCTGTTAACAGGATTTACATGAATGTCCTAGAGAAATATCTTGATATTGTTGTCAACTGACTATTCCAATTCTTTAGCCCACTGCAATTAACTCTTCATGGTATTATATTAGCTTTATTAGTTCAGAGTGACCTTTCATTCCTCAAATTTTTTTTGCTGAGTATCTGGGGACATTTCCATTGTGTACAAATTCATTTAGGAAAACCATTATCTACAAAATTGCAAGATGCTAAGCAAAACTGTCACCCACAATTGCTTAGAGAATTTTTGCTATTTCAAGTGTTCATTTTAATATTATCAAAACATTACTTGACCATGATCTGAAATTCGTTTTGATCACTTAATAATGGATATCTACAAGCTAGTGCTTATTTTCTTTTGCAGCGTAATTGTGAAGCACTGATGGTGCTTCAGAAGAAAGGTTTGCAGAAGAAAAATCCATCAATTGCTGTTGTGGCTACACTCTTTGGAGACAAAGAAGATGTTGCATGGCTGGAGGAGAATCATTTGGCAGATTGGTCTGAAGCACAATTGGATGGATTATTAGATGGAGAAAATTACGATGACTCACAGCGCAGAGCAATTGCCCTAGGTTTGAACCAGAAGCGGCCCATATTGATAATACAAGGGCCTCCTGGTACTGGAAAGACCGGTTTGCTTAAGGAACTGATCTTACTTGCTGTTAGACAAGGAGAGAGGGTGCTCTTAACTGCTCCTACAAATGCGGCTGTGGACAACATGGTTGAAAAACTTTCTAATATTGGGGTAGACATCGTCCGTGTGGGAAATCCAGCACGAATATCTCCTGCAGTGGCTTCAAAATCTTTGATTGAGATTGTAAATGCTAAGCTTGCAAATTTTCGAACAGAGTTTGAAAGAAAAAAATCAGATTTGAGAAAGGACCTGAGATATTGTTTAAAAGATGACTCTTTAGCTGCTGGCATCCGCCAACTTCTAAAACAACTTGGAAAGACATTGAAGAAGAAGGAGAAGGAGACTGTGAAGGAAATATTGTCTAGTGCTCAAGTTGTTCTTGCCACTAATACTGGAGCAGCTGATCCTCTAATCCGACGACTAGATTCCTTCGATCTAGTTGTTATAGATGAAGCGGGACAAGCAATTGAACCTTCTTGCTGGATTCCAATACTTCAGGGAAAGCGGTGCATTCTTGCAGGTGACGAATGCCAACTTGCTCCAGTAATTCTATCTAGAAAAGCTTTAGAAGGCGGTCTGGGAATCTCTCTCCTGGAGAGAGCAGCAGCTTTGCACCAAGGGGTTCTTGCTACCAAGTTAACAACACAGTACCGGATGAATGATGCAATAGCCAGCTGGGCATCAAAGGAGATGTATGGTGGATCACTGAAATCCTCTTCGATTATCTCTTCTCATCTTCTTGTAGATTCTCCGTTTATCAAGGTATGATACCTATTGATAGTTCTTCCATTCTTAATAACGAATTCTATATATATATATGTAAATTGTTTTTCTGCATATATATTAAGGGTCGGCTTTGGTGTAGCATAAAGATGTTCCATTGTGAATTGGGCATCATGGGTTCAAAGTATAGAAATGGCCACTTCGCATGCGGGGGTAAGACACCTTTTCAGGAGGGAATATTGTGTGTGATGGGAATTCAGCTTTTAGGTTTAGAAAGCTTTTATCCTTTGTTAATCATCTCATACTTTTTTCTTTTTTTTTTTCCTTTTCCTTGCATGGTTCACTCCGATGCAATCTTTTTTTTATCCTTTGTCAATCATGTCATACTTCTTTTTTCTTCTTCCTTTTCTGTGTATGGTTCACTCTAATGAAATCTTGTTTTCATAATACTGAGAATTGTTGTGGCAGCAGCATCAGTATGCTCCTTCAGATATGCTCTAACAATTAGTAGAGCTACCCAAAAGGAAACTTTTGTCAAGTAAATACCTATCTAAAAACAGTAGGACAGAACCCACTAGAACTTAAAGTTTTATTCTAATAAATCCATTGGGATTTTCTGTGGACTGTGGATTAGGATTTTCTGTTGAGCATTCTATTCTTCTTCTTTCAACGTTCTGAAATCGTAATGCTAATAATACCCTTTTGTTTAAAGTTAGGTCTCCTTAGCAAAACTTAAGCAGTCATTGCTCGTGATGTGAATATGCTAAATGAGAAATTCATTCGGAATTTCTCATTTTTTTACCTAATGCTTTCTGTTTAGAAATGAAATTTGGTAAAAATCTTGGTGAAAAAAGGTCTATGAATTACAATAAATTTAGAAAAATCAGTGCATTGTCAGATGGACAATATTATTTGGAAATTCATTACTAAAAATTCGTGATCACAAGCCCTAACAATTGCGTACTAAAATATTTTTGTTGACAAGATTCAAAATGTCAATAAGCAGACAATGATTTGCCTTAATTTGGGATCATAACCAGACTTACACATGCTAAATAAGGGTGCTGGTAATAGCACTAACACAATTTCTTTGGACCTTCCATCCTTTCAATGTTTTTTATTACAATTTAACCTATTATAAAATGCCATTTCTACCCTTATCCCTGTAAGCTTTCTGTATTTCTGTATATTCAATTGTATATCTGATTACAACCAGACCTTAGATTATATAGCCCTAACTCCTAAACCAAAAAGGAAAATACAATCACGCCTCTAATAGGACTCTACCATCACTTCTCTAATAGGACTCTAATATGTACAACCACAATCATGTCTAATTTGTAAGATTCACAATATATTCTGACACAAATTCACTATATATTCTCACACCCCCGCTCAAACTTAAGGTGTTTTAGCAGAAAACACTGAGAGTTTGCTAAGAAGAAACTGAAACCGAGCGATAGTTGGAGTCTTGGTGAAGAAGTCCGCAGGTTGCAAAGCCGAACAGATGAAAGGATGCGAGATAGAGGCCGATTGTAGATGCTGGCGAACAAAGTGACAATCAATCTCAATATGTTTCGTCCGCTCATGGAGGACAGTATTTTGGGCAATCCGAACAGCACTGCAGTTGTCACAATAGAGAGAGGTCGGAGAAGACTGAGAGACACCCAAATCAGAAACAACGAAGCCAAACAATTTCAGCAGTGGCATGAGCCATAGCACGATACTCAATTTCAACAGTAGAACGAGCAACGACTGATTGTTTCTTGCTTTTCCAAGAGATCAAGGAATCACCAAGAAACATACAGAAACCAGACGTAGACTTGTGATCAGTAACATCACCAGCCCAATCAGAATCAGCATAGGCCACCAAGTCCAAAGAGGAAGTAGAGGACAGCAGTAAGCCTTGAAAGATGGTACTCCTGAGATAGCGAAGAATGCAAACCAAAGCAGCCCAATGGATAGTGCAAGGAGCAGAAACAAACTGACTAACCACATGAACAACACAAGCAAGATCAGGGCGAGTGACAGTCAGATAAACTAAATAACCCACAAGCTCGCGATATAAAGTGGGATCATCTAGAAGGACACTATCAGTAGAGTTAAGCTTCACATTAAGCTCAATAGCTGTATCAGAAACCTTAGTATTAGTAAGACCAGCATGGTGAATGACTTCATTAGCCATACTTAGCCTGAGACAGAAAATAGCCCTTTGGAGAAGAAGCAACCTTAATACCAAGAAAATACCGCAATGGACCCAAATCTTTCATTTTGAAGGTGCAGAAAAGATACTGCTTGACCTCAGAGATAGCAGAAGAGTCAGAGCCAGTGATGATCATATCATCTACATAGAGTAAGAGAGCAACAAAACCAGCCGATGTATGTCTCAGAAATAAAGCAGAGTCGGAAGCAGAATGATGAAATCCAAGCTCGGTAACAGCAGTCTGAAAGCGATCATACCAAACACGAAGAGATTACTTCAGACCATACAGAGCACGCCAAAGACGACAAACCTGGCCAGAGGAATGGTGAAGGCCAGGGGGAGGACGCATGTAAACCACTTAGAAAATATGAAGAAGAAGAACTCCGAAAATATGAGGAAGAAGGAATATATTTCTGTTATATTCAAAACTTCTTATCTTACAAGACCAAATGACACTCCTTATATAGGAGATATTACAAACATCATCATAACCCATTATATGCCACTTACATATTATGAGGACGCATGTAAACCTCCTTAGTGAGATGGCCATTAAGAAAAGCATTCTTAACATCCATCGGATAAAGAGGCCAAGATCGAATAACAGATCAAAGTACGGACAGTAGTCATTTTGATAACAGGAGCAAATGTCTCCACATAATCAATATCATAGTCCTGAGAGAAACGTTTGGCAACCAGACGAGCTTTGTGGCGCTCAAAAGACCCATCATAATGAGTCTTGACTTTGTAGACCCATTTGCAACTAACCAAGTTCTTATCAGCAGGCAAAAGAACCCGCTCCCAAGTACTAGTTTTCTGTAGAGCAGGCAACTCATCCTCCATAGCTTGAACCTAATGAGGATCCTGACATGCCTCCTTATAAGACTGAGGTTCTGAAAAAGAATGAATCATCAGAAGCAGGAGGAGCAGTAGCTGGGGTAGAGACAACCGGTGGAGGAGGAGCCTTGCGACGAGAATAAACTAATAACGGAGGAGGAGAAGAAGCCGAAGAAGGAGAAGCAACTAGAGGTGAAGTAAGAGGAGAAGATGGAACAAGCTCAGGAGAAACAGTGGAGATGTATTCATCAGACGAGACCTCAGAAGGAAATGGGTCAATGTGAACCAAATCCTCTTTGGAAACTAGAGCAGTGAGGGGGAAGCTGAAAATAAGACAGACGTTCGAGAAAGGCAACATGACGGGAGACATAAAGGCGACGAGAGACAAGATCGTAACAGCGGAGCCTTTTTGAGTAAGATTGTAACCCAAAAAGACACACAAGATAGACCGAGTGCTGAGTTTGGTCCTATATTTACGAGGAAGAAGGACAAAACAAGTAGACCTAAAGATGTGGAGGGAATAACTGGGAGGTTGGGAATACAGAGCCTCATAAGGGGATCGACCAGAGACTAAGGGAGTCGGCATGCGATTAAGGAGGAAAGCGGCGGTAAGAACTGCCTCACCCCAAAATGGTGTCAGAACAGAGGCAGGGAGAAGAAGAGATCGAACTGTCTCAAGGAGATAATGGTGTTTACGCTCAGCACGACCATTTTGGGCAGGTGTCTCAGTACAGGAGGTTTGGTGAATGGTGTCCAATTTGGCCAAATACTCATAGAATTCAATTTTAAAGTATTCCCCACCCAAGTCAGACCGGAGTATTTTAATTGTGTCCCCAAACTGTGTAGTGATCATAGACTAAAAGGTACGTATATCTGGTAGAAGTCAGATTTATGAGTCATAAGATAAACCCAGGTATAGCAGGTACAATCATTAACAAAGGACACATAATACACAGAACCCTCTTTAGTGAGGACATGAGAAGGTCTCCAGACATCAGTATGTACAAGACAAAAAGGGGAAGCAGAAATAGAAGTATTGTTTTTAAAGGGTAAAGTTGTCATTTTAGTAAGTTTACACCCTCGACACTCATTAATTTGACTAGGAGAAACTTTACGTAACAATCCTGACTGAGCTAAAGGCCGCAAGCGGTCAACAGACAAACGACCTAAGCGAGAATGCCATAAATAAAACTGACTCAACTGAAAATCTAACTGAAAAGATAAAAGTGCAACGGGGGAGGTAGATTAAGGAAGATGCAGGCTTTCCACCACATAGAGATCTCCAACTCTATGGCCGGTCCCAATTTGCTTCTTGGATACCCGATCCTACACACAACAGATAGAAGAAGAAAAGATAACATCAAAACCAGAAGTATCAAGCTGACTGATAGAAAGCAAGCTAACCGATAAAAAGCAAGCTAACAGACAGTTAAGGAACATAAAGAACAGAGGGAATAGTAACAGTAGACATAGCAGAGGGTAAAACAGACCCAATAGATAGGACAGACATACCAGACCCATTAGCAGTATTGATAGTAATAGGAAAGGGAGGGGGGATACAGTTTTGGAGTAAAGAAAGATGAGGAGTCATGATGAGAGGCACCAGAATCAAAAAGCCAGACAAAACAAGCAGACCCAAAGACGCGGAGGGAATAATTAGGAGGTTGGGAATACAGAGCCTCATAAGGGGATCGACCCAAGAGTAAGGGAGTCGACATGCGATTAAGGAGGAAAGCGGCGGTAAGAACTGTCTCACCCCAGAATGGTGCCGGAACAAAGGCAGGGAGAAGAAGAGATCGAGCTGTCTCAAGGAGATAACAGTGTTTACGTTCAGCACGACCATTTTGGGTAGGTGTATCAGTACAGGAGGTTTGGTGAATGGTGCCCAATTTGGCTAAATACTTACAAAATTCAGTTTTAAAGTATTCCCCACCCAAGTCAGACTGGAGTATTTTAATTGTGGCGCCAAACTGTGTAGTGATCATAGACTGAAAAGTACGATATATCTGATAGAAGTCAGATTTATGAGTCATAAGATAAACCCAGGTATAGCGAGTATAATCATTAACAAAGGACACATAATACACAGAACCCTCTTTAGTGAGAACAAGAGAAGGTCCCCAGACATCAGTATGTACAAGAGAAAAAGGGGAAGCAGAAATAGAAGTACTGTTATTAAAGGGTAAAGCTGTCATTTTTGCAAGTTTACACTCTCGACACTTATTAATTTGACTAGGAGAAACTTTACGTAACAATCCTGACTGAGCTAAAGACTGCAAGCGGTCAACAGACAAACGACCTAAGCAAGAATGCCATAAATAAAGCTAACTCGACTGAGAATCTAACTGAAAAGATAAAAGTGCAACGAGGGAGGTAGATTGAGGAAGATGCAGGCTTTCCACCACATAGAGATCTCCAACTCTACGGTCGGTCCCAATCTGCTTCTTGGATACCCGATCCTGTACACAACAGATAGAAGAAGAAAATGTAACATCAAAACCAGAAGCATCAAGCTGACTGATAGAAACAAGCTAACAGACAGTTGAGGAACATAAAGAACAGAGGGAATAGTAACAGCAGACATAGCAGAGGGTAAAACAGACCCAATAGATAGGACAGACATACCAGACCCATTAGCAGTATTGATAGTAATAGGAAAGGGAGGGGGGATACAGTTTTGGAGTAAAGAAAGGTGAGGAGTCATGATGAGAGGCACCAGAATCAAAAAGCCAGACAAAACAAGCAGACCCAAAGACGCGGAGGGAATAATTAGGAGGTTGGGAATACAGAGCCTCATAAGGGGATCGACCCAAGAGTAAGGGAGTCGACATGCGATTAAGGAGGAAAGCGGCGGTAAGAACTGTCTCACCCCAGAATGGTGCCGGAACAAAGGCAGGGAGAAGAAGAGATCGAGCTGTCTCAAGGAGATGACGGTGTTTACGTTCAGCACGACCATTTTGGGTAGGTGTATCAGTACAGGAGGTTTGGTGAATGGACCCACAGTTTTGGAGTAAGGAAAGGTGAGGAGTCATATGATGAGAGGCACTAGAATCAAAAAACCAGACAGAGGAAGAAATACCTGAAGAGGACCCAAACAAACCTGAATGAGGAGAGGTGAGAGCAGAGGCAGATGAAAATGATTGAAAGGTGGACCAGAGATGCTGAAGCTGAGCAATTTGAGTACTCAAGGAAGCCAAGTCAGGATCAGAAGTTGGGACAGAGGCAGTATAAGCAGTAAGAGGGCAAAAAGTACTCGGAGCAAGACCTCGGGACTGTGGCTGAGGCGGCTGAGCAGACTGACGGCCCTTCTTGGGACAGTTGTACTTCTAATGGCCCTTTTGATGGTAAAAAGCACACTCATCAGAGACTAGTGGCCCCTTCTTGGGCTTTGCATTGGCCTGAAGCTGATGAGTTGAGGGGTTCGGTAGCAGAGGAGACAGAGTAGGAGCTAAGAAGACAGATAGAGATAGAGTCTGACTGGCTGTCTTAAGACGGGTTTCATCGGAGAAGAGCTCACAAACAATAGCATCTACAGAGGGGAGAGGAGACCGATGAAGGATGCCACCACGGATAGCCTCATGCTTAAGGGAGAGAGCCGTTAAGAATTGCACGAAACGACCTTGCTCCCGAAACTCAACATAAGAGTGTCTTGAGGCTAGATGGTTCCATGAGAGCCAGCTGATACCAGAAGCTTGTCATCTCAACGTAGAAGTCTTGAATAGACAGATCCCGCTGACGAGCTCCCTGAATAGCTATTTTCAACTCATACCGTTTGGAAAAGTTGGACTGCTGATAAACACTTTGTAAGTAATCCCACACCTCTTTGGCAATGCTATATTTAGAGAATATCATCCCGATACGGTCATCCACAGAGTTATGGAACCAGGTTAAAACTTGAGCATTATCACAATCTCAAGTGTCACAGGAACTTAGATAGTCTTCTTGTTTGGGATCCAATGAACGAGGAACAGAACCATAAACATATCCCCATTTTTTTCGACCGAGAAGAAAATTTTTCATAACACTAGACCAATAAGCATAGTTGTCACTTGTAAGCTTGCATTTAATAGCTCGGATTTTATCTTTCGACATTGTAATGAACTAGAAGTGAAAGAAAAAAAAAAAACTAATGGGGCACAGTGATAAAATCCAATAAAGTTGAGGGGTCAACTTGTAATAATCCAAAGTTGAGACAGAGAGGTCAAGGTGGACTGAAATCAGAATAGAGAACAAAACCGAAGATAGAGAGAGCAAAACCGAGAGAGAAGACCAGAGAGAGAAAGCCAACGTAGAGGTCGCGAGAGAGTGAGAGAGATCCCTCAAGCCTAGACCAGACTCGCGACTTCAGACCCAGCAAGAGAAGGCAATCGCGATTTCGGCAAAGACAGAGAGGGCTGCCGTGACTTCAGAGAAGAATGTCACGACCTAGCAAGACCTTCGTGGCTTCGGAGAGGGCTGTCGCGACTATCACGACCCAGAGAGGGCTGGCTTCGATCGACCCAGAAAGACCCTGCAAGCAGGAACGAAGAACTTCAAATGATCAAGGCCAGACCTAGGGTTTCGGACGTGGCTCTGATACCATGTAAGCTTTCTGTATTTTTGTATATTCAATTGTATATCTGATTATAACCCGACCTTAGATTATATAGCCCTAACTCCTAAACCAAAAAGAAAAATACAATCATGTCTCTAATAGGACTCTACAATCACTCCTCTAATAAGACTCTAATATGTACAACCACAATCATGCCTAATTTGTAAGATTCACAATATATTCTCACACAAATTCACAATATATTCTCATAATCCCTATCATCCAAACCCTAAACCTAATCTCCTCTCTACCCCAGCCACCAGCCATCACCACCACCACCTTCAGTAACCCCTCTCCACCCTCCAGTGCCACCCCCAACCCCTCCTTAGTCCCTAATGCCACCCCCAACCCTTCTTTAGCCCCCATCTCCACCCATCGACACCATCACTGCGACGCCCACCATCACGATCCTACACCGCCACGATGCCCTACCCTCGTGGCCCCCATCCCTTTTGCGATCTCTCTCTGCCCCCCTTCTCTCTCTCTCTTTCTCTCTCTCTCTCTTGGTGGTGTCAGTGGGATGGGAGGAGGGGGCAATGCAATGGCGTCTGCAGTGGGAAGGGGCTGGTGGCTGTAGTGCCTTAGTGAAATTTTCTGATACTTATAAAATATTAATGAATAAACTTATTAAGCTACTTTATTGATATACTACACACATTTGTCATTCAAATTACCTAATAATTAAAGTGTCATCCATTTTCTTATTGAATATCATTGTGTCAATGAACCTTTAAACTTTTTGTTTCTGACGCTTTCCTTTGGCTATGCCCTATATTTGTGTGTTCATACGCAACATAGCCACAAGGTTGCTCTTATTTGGGAAGAAAAGTTGCTTCGTCGTTATCACAAGCAATAACATGTCAAAAGCAATGCCTTGAAATTCTATATAGTTTCTTGATTACCCATTGTGTTGATGGTATCTTTAAACTCATATTTGGCCTATATTGACAAGATAGAGAATTGCAATCATTGTCTTAAAAAGTGGAAAGCATCTGTAGCTGCTCTTATCTTTAATTTTTGTACAATTGCTAAAAATTTCAATTTGTTGAATTCTTTGAATAACATAGGATGGAAGAGTCTCACGATAAATCACTTGCCTTAATAACACAGTTCAATATTGTAATTAACATAACAATTGATTACATCATCAGAAAGATCATTAGTTTGTAATGTCTAAACCATCGATTATACAGAACAATTGAAAAAATAAAAGAGAAAAAAGGAAGAAAAGAGTTCCAAAAGTTCTTCAATTTGCTGTTACTTTTGTCATGCTTATCTTCTTACATTAAATGTTCTAGGGCATCATTTTGAACATTTTCTTTGATTATTGCAGCCAACATGGATAACACAGTGCCCATTGCTTTTGCTTGATACAAGAATGCCATATGGAAGTTTGTCAGTTGGCTGTGAAGAGCATTTAGACCCAGCTGGCACAGGCTCCTTTTACAATGAAGGGGAAGCAGATATTGTTGTGCAACACGTCTCTTCTTTGATTTATGCTGGTATAAATTCTTGAATCTTCAATAAAAATTGAGGCTAATTTATCTAGCATTTCCTCTGTTATTCTAAAGACAAGTTAATTGATCTAAAAGGCACAAGCACGGAAACATTGACATGGAAATTTCCAGAAAATGTAGGATACGACACGTGAAAAATACGCACAAAATATATAGTTTTGTATATCATATATAGTGTTTAACAATTATTTTATGTCATGTTTATAAATATTTAATTCAAAGATAATAACCATATTAAATTTAACAAAAATTTCTGTGAAGTCTAAGGGAGGAGAATAGATATACAAATTTACATTGTTTTTCTTTTATCATTGGATTCCAAGTTATTTTTCAAACCTATAATGTGTTCCATGTGTCTAAGCGATAGATGCATGTATTCTCCAAGTGTCTGGAGCGTGTTCGAGGCTAGAAAATTTTCAAAATAGTTAGACATGTTTGGATGTGTGTTCGACAAACACGACACACCACCTTTTCAGAAGTGTTCGTGCTTCTTTGTAATTGATGAACTGCAAAGAACATAATCTATGGTGGTAGGTGATGGTAAATTTTAACAATGCATGTATTCTCCAAGTGTCTGGAGCGTGTTCGAGGCTAGAAAATTTTCAAAATAGTTAGACATGTTTGGATGTGTGTTCGACAAACACGACACACCACCTTTTCAGAAGCGTTCGTGCTTCTTTTTGTAATTGATGAACTGCAAAGAACATAATCTATGTGAAACAGTGAAAATTATTGCGAATTAAATAATGAACATATTTGGATCCAATAGCAATTGGCCATTGAATGAGCGATGGCCTCAATTTAAGGAGGACGGGCACAAATCTTATTGCACTAGGTTAGGGTAATGTGAGATTCTTTTAATATTTGGCCAAACTATACCTGTATATGGCAGTGAAGTTTGGGTTTGCGATCACTAGATGGCTTGAATGAAACTTAAGCCAGATTGGTGCTGATACCTCACTTTCACTACCCCTCAATTGGTTGCACTAATGCTACCAGAAAACTGTTAACACCCTAGCAATTTATGTTTTTGAGTGCACGTTCCAAAACATGGTATACTTTTATTCCAGAACAATGAATTTAGCAATCTGAAGCAATCTCCTAACTTTTTTTTCTCTATTTTTCATTAAAAGTTATCCATAGGATTGTCAAAATGTAAAATAATGGGTCACAATGTTTATAGAACTATGTTGCTGAACAATTCATTTGAAGAAAAATACACTATAATATATTGAATGTCAAATTAAGAAGTCTATCCTTATCGTACCACATTTAATTTTGGTTTATACCTTTACTTCTGGCATTAAATGTGAATTGTATGTTGAATCGTAACAAACTAAATCATTTAATTAATTTTTGTATTACTCCAAATTAAAAATAAATATTTTTTTACAAATGTACCCATCCGAACCGTACCTTACTTTTAAAAAAATTTTGCATATCGATGTGCCCGCATCGTACCAATATCATTTCCTGTACCCGTACATGTGCTTCATATGTGACCAGTCTTATGCATCCTTACATTTTTAATGACCACATCAGCAATCTTCTTAAAAAATATTCCAATTTACACTGCCACCAAGATTTTTATTCACCATAGTAATTGGTCAACATGATTTTTTCAACTGCATTTCAGTCTTTGAGAACTAAAATGATGGCATAAGTTATGATGCTTTCTGCGGATTGAAGTTTCCATATCCAAGAAAAGTATCTCATATTTGCAAAAAAAAATGTTTTTCAATATCCGAGTACAACTAAGGAGATTTATCTTGCTGAACTAGGTATACTAGGATTTTTTCGAATAGAAGATAATGTAGAGAAACTTGTAGATATCTTCACCAAGTAATCATTAGCTTTACTTTATGTGATAAATTGAACGAGTTGTTCAGCTGCTTATTAATTTATGTGCTCCCCATCTTATTTTAAGTATATTATACAGGTGTTAGCCCAACAGCTATTGCAGTGCAGTCTCCATATGTTGCTCAAGTGCAACTGTTGAGGGACAGGTTTGATGAGCTTCCAGAGGCTGCAGGTGTTGAGGTTGCAACTATTGATAGCTTTCAAGGCCGGGAAGCTGATGCAGTTATTATATCAATGGTATGTTAAACAAATTATGCTTTCACATTTAGTAGCTAATAGTTTTAAATGAAGATTTTTACTTTCCTTTAAGTTTATTGCAGGACACTCGTATTATTTAAAATTGATCATAAGCTGTCTTTATTCAATTTACTTGAAAACAAATTTTGTTCACATCTTGTTGAGAGTTTCTTGCTTTAGAGTACATGTCCTTATAAAAGTATAAGAATCCCAACAACTTAAAATAGAGTCGAGTTTTAGAGATTCAAAGTTTGTCTGGTGTCTGATGACTGTATCTTTTAGGGATAAAGCCTAATGCAGAGATCCTTAACTCCTTATCCTCTATCATCATTGTTGTTTGTCATCATCATTTTCTTCTTCTTCTAATTCTCTTTATTTCTCTACCGCCTTTAATTTCTTTCCTTTTCATCTAAAACATATCACACCCTAACAACCTATGTCTGGCAGCCGTTCAAATACTTTGAGCAACTAACCAAACCAAACTAAGCCTTAAGTTCCATCAAATGGGGTTGGCTGCATGGATCTTTCTTCTCCACTCGACTCTATCCAAGGCCATTTCGTTAGTCAAATTAAGGAGATTCGTATCTCTATTTACTATACTAGTCCATATCAATCTAAGTCTATCCCTTCCCTTAACACTACCTTCGATCGTAATTGTATCGCATCTCTTCACTACTACCTCTGTTAGTCTCCGTTGTATATGACTAAACATTCTCAATCTATTCTCTCTCAACTTATCTTCTATCGGTACTACTCCTACTCATTCCTAACTTGTTTTTTCTAATCTTGCCACACATCCATCTTAGTATCCTTGTCTCAGCAATGCTCATCTTATTTACATGTTGTTTCTTAATTGTCCAACATTTCGTCTCATACAACATCGCTGGTCTAATAGATGTTTTATAGAACTTCCCCTTAGTCTAATGAGTACTCGTTTATCGCACAGTACTCTAGATGCATTCCTTCACTTAAGCCACCCTACCTTAATTCTATGGACCACATCCGCTATAATCTCCTCAGTCGTTGTGATAATTGATCCTAAATAACGAAAATATTCACTTTTATGTGGTTCTTGGTTCTCAGTCTTGACTTCTTCTTTGCTTCCATTGTGACTGTTACTAAAATTACACTCCGTAGACTCTGCTTTAGTTCTGCTTATCCTAAATCCTTTAGATTCAAGTGTTTTTCTTCAAATTTCCAACTTAGTGTTAACTCATTCTCTAGTCTCATCCACTAACATGATATCATCTGCAAAAAGCGTATATCGTGGCATATCATCCTAAATATTGCGCGTCTACTCATCCATAACTAAAGCGAAAATATAAGGATTTAAGGTTGATCCTTGGTGTAGCCCTACAATAATAGAAAATTCACTTGTCTCTTCAGCAAGTGATCTAATAGTGGTCACCACACCTTCATGCATATCCCTAATCACATCAATATAATCTTTTGTCATCCCTTTCTTATCTAACACCCATTAGATTATATCCCAAGGCACTCTATCATGTGCTTTCTCAAGATCGATAAAAACCATATGAATATCTCTTTTCTTTTCTTTTGTTTGCCCCATTTGTGCTAGTTATAAGGTTTCAGTTTCTCTCTACTTAATACTTGGGTTTTAAGGAGAAGTGTGGGCTGGACTTTATAATTTTCTCTATACTTTTTTATTACTCTCCCCAAAATAATACTTTGAGCAACTAATTTTCTATGATTCCATTGTCCATTCACCTTTAAAACCAATCAAATTTCTATTCAAATTCCACATTGCAACCTTTATGCTACCTTTTAAATCCAAACCTACAAGCTTTTCATAATTTTTGTCCACCACATAATCAACTGTAGCTATCATTACTTTAAGTTTCCTAGTGTTTCCTTGAAGCTAAGTGGTGCCAGACTGAAAGGATCCTACTTCAAGATTGTAACACCCTAAAATCACCAATGCACACTTTCAATGCGAGATGACGTTGTTACAAACTTTCCTACTTATAAATCCTCGCATCCTTGCGAGGGTCCATAATCAATCAGAATACTGCAATAAGCTCGTGGCCAGACTAGAGCCCACATGGCCATGTGCATAGTCGGCTCTGATACCATTTGTGACAACCTAGATTTTTCAAACATTGCAAAGTAAAAAATAATATTCAATTGCATAAAAAAAAATTAAAAAAAAGAAAAAAAAAGAGAAAAAAAGAAAAGAAAAGAGCACCAAATCCTCAAACATCTCATGCATAATATCTTCAAATAATAGTAGTAAAAAATATGCCCCCATCAAAATTCCATATTAATAATTCATCTAAAAATCTGAACTTCTATGCCCTATCACTCCAAACCTGCGATTACACTGATGGAAAAAAATAAGGTAAGCTCAACAACCCAATAAGTCACCAACTGCTGCTGCTAGTTGGATCAAGGGTGCAAAGAATAGTCAATAAGAGAATAAATCTTTTTAAGGCTATATTGCTTGGTTCACAGGTTTCTTAAGGCTATGTTGAGATTTGGGCACAAGCAAAATAACGCAGATCACACTATGTTCCTCAAACATGACACAGAGAAGGTAAATGTTCTTATTGTATGTGCGCATGACATAGTGGTGACAAGCAATGATTTGAAGGAAATGACGCAACTTAAGGCTAAGTTGGCCAAGGAATTTAAGATCAAAGACCTTGGTTCTTTGAGGTACTTTTTTGGAATTGAAGGTTGCCAGATCAGAAAAAGACATCTTTATCTCTCAAAGGAAGTATATTATTGATCTTCTTGATGAAACAAGCATGTTAGGTTGCTGAACAGCAAATTTACCAATTGAGGCGAATCATCGTCTTAGCAGTGGTGTTGGTGATTTTGTAGATAAGGAAAGGTACCATACGCTCATGGGGAGACTTATATATGTCCCCTACACTTAACCAGATATTGCATATGCAATTGGGATAGTGAGCAAGTTTATGCATGATGCTTGTGTCATGCATTTGGATGCAAATATCTCATTTTAAGGTACTTTAAATCGGCACTAGGAAAGGATTTTGTTTTCCAACCATAGTCGCTTGAGGTTGGAAGCATTTAATTACTCAAATCAGGTAGGCTTTGTTAATGACAGACAATCTACCTCACTAAGCGGAATTTAGGCACCTCCCAAACACACTCCTATATAATAGGAATCCTTGTAATTGTAATAGATACAAGATCAATACAATCAATCAATAATACATTTCTCTATTTCTTTTTATACATTGCATTTTTTACAGAATCTATTGTAGTGAACCCATGATGTTGTATTGTGACAACAAAGCTGCCATCAGTATAATCCAATTCAGTTTGATAGAACCAAGCATGTTGAAATTGACAAGCTCTTCGTCAAGGAGAAATTGAATAAGGGTTTGATTTGTATGTCTTTTATGAGGCCAGAAGATCAGTTCGCCGATGTATTCACTAAAGACCTTAGTAGTAAGGTCTTTCACTATCTCTCATTAGCCGTACTCTCTCTCTCTCTCTCGGATGATGAATGAAGGTATCAGGATATTGTTATTTTCCATTTTCCATGACACAATGTTTATACCCACCATATATTATCTACTGATAATGTAACACCGACAACCTGTTGGCCCAAGTAACCTGAAGAAAGTGGGTCTACCAACATGACCCAAAATAGTTAAGTTCTAGTTGTTTAGTAATAAGCTAGTGGCATCTCATATACCCAAAATCACCAATTTAAACTTTCAATGTGGGATGGGATCATTACAAACTCCCCCTTTCAACCTTGCGTCCTCGCGAGGGGTCCATAATCAATCAGAATACATCGATAAGCTCGTGGTCAGACCCAAAATAGTGACCCACAGGTAGTGTGCACAAGTCAGCTCATATACCATTTGTATTGTCCCACCACCTGCTAGCCCAAGTAACCTGAAAAAGTAGGTCTACCAAATGCCAACATGACCCAAAATACTTAAGCTCAAGTTACTTGGTAGCAAAAGTGGTGTCTTATTGGATTATTTTAAGCCAAAATAGGTTGACAAAAGTAAACATGGTGATCATACTGTACTTAAAAAGATATATTTATAGAACTTAATGCAGAGCCTCTGTTAGTAATTGGAACAAAGGCTTGTTGAGTCGAGTTGATTTTACCCTATGCCTCTGTTGACGGTTGAGTCCTTGGCATGAAGTTGTACTTTAGAGATTAGATGACTTCAACAGACCCAATGAAATGTCATTAATGGGATACAAGTCATAGAATTTTGCATTGCTAGTTTTGGAAGCATAACACAGTTGCATCGCTGTATATATGAATTTTTTTTAAAAAAATATTGGGATTATTATAATTAAGACAAAATATAAGAAATATTAACAATTAAGTCTATTAAATATAAAATATTATTTCTAAGTCATTATATTGAGAATTTAATTACATAATGGCCAAAATATATAAGCAAAGACATCTTTTGTTCATGTCTTTGGCTTCCCAACCACAGCCCTGCCAACTTTCTTCCTCTCTGGTGAATGCCACGGCACCGGAACCGGCACCCCTCCCGCCCATGGAAGTAGCCGTGCTTTGTCCTTCCCCTTCCACCGTTGTCGCTCCCTCCTCCCCCTTCCCTTCTACTGCAGACCCTCCTTCCTCCCCAGATTTGAATCCCCCCCAACCACACAGGCTTCTCCCCCGATCTGCCAACTCAGGTGAAATCGGAACAAATCCAGAGGCTTGTCACATACTTCAATGTGATGCTTTGTAAAGCTATGCCACCTCTCCAACTGAAGATCTCAACCTTTTTGGCTTTCACAACCAGTGGCTTAGGAGATCTCTAGGTTAGAATTGTTGACATGGAACTACATTTGTAGTTTTTTAAGCCCAGGACAGTCAACATATGCTGGGAAGATTCTTTCCCAGTTCTTACCAAGTATGCCTAGCTAGAGTTGCATGGGTATGTAGGGAGAAAGGGGGCTGTTGTTTAAGGGCAGGAGAGGGAGGAGGCATAGCAGTCACCATAGATGGAGGGGGCCGACGGCTGTGGTGAGAAAGGTAAAGACATGTACAGAAAGACATTTTAACCCAATTTTTTACCATTCTGCAATTAAATTTCTAATACGAAGACTAATAATAATTTTTACATTGAATGGACTTTATTATGAATAGTTTTTCATTTATTGCCTTAATTATAGTAATCCCAAAAAATTTCACTATGTTGTTACCTAAGAATTTCATTACCAGAGTTATTTTGTTGTAGTGACTATTAACAGATGTTCTTGTTTTAGGTCCGCTCAAACACTCTTGGAGCTGTTGGGTTTTTAGGGGATAGTCGGCGAATGAATGTTGCCATAACAAGAGCACGAAAGCATGTAGCAGTAGTGTGTGATAGCTCAACCATATGCCATAACACCTTCTTGGCAAGGCTGTTGCGTCATATTAGATACTTTGGTAGAGTGAAGCATGCCGAGCCTGGTAGTTCTTGGGGATCTGGCCTTGGCACAAACCCCATGTTGCCTTCTATCAGTTAACCTTGCAGGAGTGGATAAGGTACGTAATTCTTTTACTGATTTGAACTGGTGATTTTTAGGGAGAAGCAATTTAATTGATGCTTTTCATTCCTTATGTCTGCTTCCATGCTTGTTGATGTACAGAATGTGTTTCAATTTATTAACAGAGAATTTTTAAGTGATTGTGTGCAGAAACAGAAGTCTAACACTGTAAATAAAAAATACATAATTTTTTTCCTTGTGCAATTTAAACAGACTGGTTTAATTCACAGTTAATTTGACTAGTGACTTAACATACTTTTTATCCAACTTGTAATATGTTAACAAATTTATACTTGGATTTGTGTATAGAATAGAACCTGTATGTATAGTTTTGTGAGAAAGATGCTAAGTGCAATCTGATTTAATCCAGAAAACAAAAGCATATCTGCAAATGGAATGATTCGTTCAAAACATTGTTGGTAAACAGTACTTTACTCTGGTTAATCCACACTTAGCCATCAAGTTATTTAAGTTAATTTACCATCTATCTAATGTGTAAATATATTATAAATCTGTGCTTGGCATTGTGTTTAGAATCTTTCGTGAGAATGGTGCAAGTTTGGGAAGAAAGGAAAAGAGGGAATCACCAGCGAAGCCTTGCCAACCCCGCAAAATCTTTTATAGTCAAAAGTGGATGATATAGGGGAAAGTGATTCTAAATACACCCTTTTGTCAAAAGAATTTTTAGGTAGATTATATTTAAAATTGACAATAAATTTTTGATTTTTTTATTATTGACAAAAACATCGTATGTATATTAAAAGATTCACTTCCACAAGTATAAAAACTTTCTTTTTTTCTTTTTTGAAAAATATCCACAAGTATAAAAACTTTAAAATGTCATTAAATCTATAAATAAAATTTAAGTTGTTATTAATATAGGCATGTATAAAATAAAATGTATCAGTAGATGATTGTATAAGTATCTTTTGTTGTACAAATTGTATAATTAAATAAAATAAACAAACAGGTTTATATTTAATAAATTACAATATAGAACATGAAATCATGGGAAAGTACAGCTGGATTGAACAAAAATACATAATAAGAGGAAATGAGAAAAGAAAGTAAACCGAAACTTGTGTGATACAGTCTCTTTAAAACAGATTCGCCGCCTCACCGTGAGTGCCGGAGGTATATCGGCGTCTGTCTCTTAAGATACGAGACACGGTAGTATAGATCCTCTAATGTAGAAGCACCAAAAATTTGGTACCTAAGACCAAAGAGGAGGTCTCCTTTTATACATACTGGGGGAGAGACGTGTATATATCTACAACCACCTAGCCCATTCCAACAAGTCTCAAACCCTAAGATTCACGACCCGGCCCGGTCCAGATGGGCAGCATTTGTGTATGTGACAATTTTTATATAATCAACTTGGACCATAGTTTTGGTGTAAGCCCATCCTTGAAACTTTCATAACTTCATTCTTTCGAAAAATTTGGATACCTTAAAAGGTTCATGCCCTTATCAAAATCTTGAGGTTTAAATACCCATCAAAACTTTCCTCTACAATCAATGTGAGACTAATAGTTATACGCAATTCTCAATACTTCATTCATGAGATCAAACAATTTATCATTCAATTCTTAATGATTTTTGGTCATTTTTTTTTGTGGTGTAAAGATCTTATTACAAATAATTTAAATTTATTTGATCCCACCTCAACTGGTGGCTGAGATTTACTTTAATTTCGCATTAAAGTAATCATAAAATTATTTTTTCAAACATCTTTTTCGGTGTACAAAATAAAAAGGATTAAAAGATGATTACGTATGTACTAGTGATGGACATGGTGTATATTTGCCTTTAGATTTGTATTTGTAATGGTGTAAATGATATACAAATAAAATAAAATAAACAGCAAACAAACAAACATATATAAAGCATTTATATACAGAACAGTGTGATAGCATTGAAAGGATGGCCCCCCCAATCTAAAGCCAACTCTTTTAGGACTTCGACTATCAAAATCAAAACCCATTATTAGTTGTGGGATTTCTTTATGTTGTGTTTGGTTGGGGAATTTAGAGAGAGATTTGGAAAGGAAAAGGGAAAATGTGTGTGAAACTATGTGAAATATAGACATGTTTTATTGATATTTTACCTACCTTTTCCGTTTCTCTTTCCAAATCCCTCTCCAAATCCTCCAACCAAACATAGCATTAGAGACTTCGTATTCATATAGTTTTAATGAAAAATATTATTCTTATAATTTTTTTTATGAAGAATTTTTAATGAAAATAATGTGGAGGTGATATTTTAGTAATTAAATATTATTTTAATGAACATTTTATTTTAAAATGATAAATCTTAATTAGAGACCAGCAGTTGAAACTAATATATATACATGCGTTTTTTATATTCTTGTAGGGGTTTGTCCGCCAACACCCACCAATGGAATAGCTAATCTTTTTGGCCCTTTTTTTTAGGGGAAAAAAACAATAATTTCATTTCGTTGCATCAAATAAGATGTGCAGATTTAAGAATACATATAAAGATGAAGACGAAATACATATATGAACATTAGATTGACCTAAATGCAAATAACTTGATTTTCAAATGGGGTTGTAGAGGGATTGCATTGTCACAAGGATGAAATTATGGAGTTTTATATGATCAAATTAAAATTATACAGATTAAAATAAAATTTTGTTAAAACTCTAAAACCGCTAATGCAATTAATTCTTTTTCTTTTTTTTTTCTTCATTTCTTTTCTCTTCTTTTCTTTTTCCCTCGTGTAACATGAGAGTAACTGACAATGAAATATAATTTAGAGAAATTACAGCAGTGATCCTTCGAAATTTTCTCATGTGTTAACACTGAGTATGAAGAACTTTAACAAAAACTAGTTATATGACTATCTAGCAGTCCTCCCCATTTTTCACGAAAAATCAATGTGGGACGAGCATGAGGTATGTAATGGCACAGATTGTCAAGTTTGGGTTAACATTCTGAAAGACAGTTGTGAATCAGATTGGAATATTAGGATCATAATTAGGGATATTAAAGAAAGTTATAAGATGTTCGGTTTATTTTGTATTTCTGAAGTTACTAGATCTGTAATCAAGCAGGCACATGAATTGGCCAAGTCTATAAACTCTTCTATATAAGTTATATTAATGTTAGCTATTTCCTCAAGAATAAAAAAGTATGGGACAAGGCTTTTCAAATCTAATTACCATTTGTACGAGCACAGAATAATTTTTTCGTATAATCCTATTGATCAAGTTGGCACTCCTCCTAAGCGTTGTCGCATTGCTACCTGAAAACACAAATGTGAGCTAGTCAGTGGGAGTGTGCCAGAAACCGTTCCGATGCCTAAGTCAGCAACTAGATAATAGACAATAAGCTCTGTGTCTTTTAGAGTAAGAATTGTGATACCTGTACAAAAGTCTAGTGGTGTGCGCGGTGTAAGTCGGTGCGGTTTAGGAGAAAAATAGAAACCATACGGTGGGTGGCGGATTGATAAAAGTGTCATTAGAATTTGCTATTTTTCTTATCGAAAACGGACGGTTCGGTTGGAAAATAATAGTGGATTTGCCTTGGCGGTTCGGGCGGATTGGCGGTTTATAAAAAATATAATTCAAATTACAGAACTTAAATGAAAGAGTTAAAAGATCTAATTTATAAATTAACTAAAATAGTCAAAATTAAAATATTCATCTAATATAAAATTTACAATGATGATAAGTAAATAAATAAAAATTATCAATATGACTTTACACAAAAATAAAAATTATCAATGATGATAAATATATATAAATAAAAATTATAAATATCACTTTACACATAAATAAAAATTATCAATGATAAATATATATAAATAAAAATTATCAGTGTGTGCTTTCCTATAAATATCAATGATGTTAATATATATATATATATATAAAGAATCAGAGGGAAAAAAGAATCAAGAGGAATGATGTCATATGTATATAGGATCGAGAGAGAGCAACGAGAGAGAGAGAGAGAGGGAGAGAGAAAAGAGCAACGAGAGCAACAAGAGAGAGAGAAAAAGGCACATACTGACAACGAGGCAAAGGCAGCGCCGATCGGCAAGGAAAGGAGAAAGTAGTGGCGGCGGCAAGGAGAGGCTAACGGCACAGATCGGCAAGGTAAGGAAGAGGAATGAGATTAGATGTTGTGTACAAGCCTAGCAGCGATGAATTGATGATGAATGAGATGAAATGTTGGTGTCTTAATTGAGGAATTATTGTGTGTGTGTGAGTATATATGTGATAGATGTAATCCATGGTTGGAATTCACTTGTTGTATGTGTATATAGCAGAGGATTTTTTTTTAGACACAGAAGGTGGATCGGTTCGGTTTATATTGCGGGTTGAAAATTTCCAACCGCCACTCGCGCTGACCCGCCACTCCTGGGACCTCAAACCGCCCAACTCGCCCGCCACAGTTGGAAAATTGTGCGGTTCGGCGCGGTTCGGAGCGATTTGGTGCGGTTTTGGCGAGTTTGGCGGTATTATGCACAGCCCTACTCCCAAAGATAACATTTATCCTGATAACACCTTACTCACTGCCAACCAAGTGAGATGGGTACAACTCTTTTACCCAGGCTGGTAACACGGTCAACCAAACTAAAGCCACCTTACCCTGAGTTGGACAATGAAAAGGGCGCTCCACCGGGTTGAAATCAGTTCGGTCCTCTGCCCCAGTCATACCCCGGTCCCTCCTAGATCACACATAATTAACCTAGTCCAAGCTTTGGCCAAATATCTGCCCAGCCTAGGACCAAGCCACTCTATCTAGTACCTCGGCCCACAACGCAGCCCAATGAAAAAGTATGGACCTAGCTCGGTCCATTCTTACGGGTGGTCTTAGGACTTTATGCATAAATTACCCTTTCAATTGCCCCTTAATTCCATCTGGGAAGCATGATTGGGATTATTATCTTCAAGCCGCGCTAAAATATCCACTACCACCCGAAATGAAATGCTTAGGCTAGCCGAACTAAAAAACTCACTCAATTTCCCCGTCTTTAACGTAGTACAGCCCGCTCTCCCATGCTGCTGACACCACGTCCTTATTGGGACACGTGACTCCTCACGATTGCCTTTATCGCTGTGACGGCCGTCAATCATAACTCTAAAAATTTGAATAGTCCAGCCGTTTTACCTCCATTGCATATTCATTTCCTTAGTCTTCAAACAACCATCGTTACTGTTCATCTTCTAACCCAAAAACCAAAACAGCTTTTTGAAAGCAAAAACTCCAATTCTGCCTTTGCCCCTATT